GTTTCACGGATCCATGGCGGTCCCGGTCCCGCTCCCGGTGGTTCTCCCGTGTCTCTGACAGCATCTCCCCGCTGCAGGCGCGGACGCGGCCGGGACGGAGCCCAGCAGCTCGGACAGCAGGGTGGAGCGGCCGGACCCCTACACCAACGTGGAGGAAGCGCTGCTGGGAGGGGAGTCCAGCTACATCCACCAGCCCCTGGCTCTGGACAAGGAGGACGCGCTCCAGGCCGCCACCGTGGCCAACCTGCGCGCGGCCCTGATGAGCAAGAACAGTTTGCTGTCGCTGAAAGCCGACATGCTGAGCGAGGACAGCTCGCTGCTCTTCGAGTACCTCCCCAAAGGCACGCACTCGCTCTCCCGTAAGTTGGCCTTCTTCTGTGTTTTCTATTTTTTAAAATTTTTGAGTGACGCTTTAAGGGAAATCTTTAATGACAAGTAAATACAGGTCACCGGCTCGTTTGTTGTTGCTGGTGGTGTGTTTATATCCAGGTTTAAGTCCTGCTTAATCCCACTTTCCATAAAATATGGAAACTTTAGTCTGATACTGATCCAACTTTATTGTTAACTGCTGAAATCATAGAAGAAAATATTCAGCCTGCAGTGCTTGCCGTCAAATTTCTGTTTCTCTCATCTCACACAATGGTACTTACAAACAAAATACAAAATATTTGAGTCATTATGGGAAGGGTTTTGAATCCAGACTTGATCGGTGTTGAACAGCTTGAATGTTGCTCCTGTGTCTGTGGTAACAATTGGGGTGTTGTAGATTGCATGATCTATACTTCTTGCAGTTTAATTTTAGACTTGTAAGTAGTGAGCAACTATTGATTTTCTTATACTTGCACCTGGAAATTAATGTTTTTCTACTGGTGATCTGTTGGAGACAGCTAATGTGAACCATTAGGTGTGGACAGCTGATTGTTCAGCCTATTTTTTGTTTGCTTCATTGCAGCCTATTTCTCTAGTGCATAAAGAAAGAAATTATTAATGCTGTATTTTAATAATACTCTGAGAAGACACATCATTTGCGAAATAGAATAGAGAAAGCAACAGTTTTCTGAGTACTATATGTTCATTTCCAGAAGAAAAGGTTTATCTTTATCTATGGTGAGAAAACTGACTATGTAAATAGAATGAAAAGTTCACTTAGGATATCTGTTCTTCTATTTTCTTTTAGCTTCCTTAGTGGGAAAGATCGATAACTTTAATGGCCATAGAATTAGAGAATGAATCACAGGATCTCAGAATGCTTTGGGTTGGAAGGGGCTTTGAAGATCATCTTTTTCCAGCCCCTTGCCATGGGCAGGGACACTTTCCAGTAGACCAGGGTGCTCCAAGCCCCGTCCAAGTGGCCAACTGGTCCCTGGAGTTGTGTGACAAAGGGAAATAATTACACAGTGCAGTGTCAGACTTAGTGTCTCTTTTCACTTCTCATGTCTGAACAATAGGATTGTTTTTTAAAAAATCAAAAAACCTTGAAGTTTCTGTACCTTATTCTGTAGCTTAAATATTTGTGGGAAATGGCTGGTGCAGTGTTCTGGTTTCTTTCACAGTAATTCACTTCCCAAAGGATCTCCAGTTTAATCAGATTTAGACAGTTCAGATTGGGCCTCAGGGTTGAAAATCCTTCAGTTGCAGTGGAAGAGCACAGATGTGGCTCAGTTCAGTGGCAGGGTTTGGGTGCAGGGAGCAGAGTGCCCTGAGCTGGCACAGGGAGGGTGGGAGCCTGAATCGGTGTGCGGCCGCGGGTGATGGATGCACCACGGCTTCGGGGCTCTGACTCCTGACAGGTGAAATCAGCAATTTCATCTTCTGTCTTGATAAATTGGAATAATGACGGGGCTGCCCTCTATCCATCATCCTTCTCCTTGTTGGAGGATTTTAGGTTATACTTAAAAACTGAAGCACCACTTGACATAAAGATAAATGTGTATGAAGCAGTCATAAATCTGGGTTAAAAATTAGAGATTGCCCAACCACCTGTGAAGCAGAGCTTGAGGATGGGCATGGTACAGGCAGGAGACCAGCTGGGTTTAAAATAAAGCTTGATACATTTAGAAAAGGGGGTAGTTGATATTTCACTGAGGGGTGCCATGGCCCAGGGGGTCCTGTCCAGCCTGTACTTGCAGTCCTTATTTTCCAGTCTTCTCACTATTACTTGGATTTCATTCAGCTGAGCTTCAATTATCTCATCTTTATGGAAGCAAAGTGAAATGCCCAAGTCAAAAGGAAGACTTCCTGCTTGGTCTGTAGCTCTCACAGCAGTCAGGGATGTGGCTGTGGCCTGGTAAGAGGATTTTGATAGAAGCCAGGAGTTAAGAGACATATTTTTCTTTCATCTTATTCAGATTCACAGGTATCAATTTATTTTAATCACTTGAAAAAGATCTTGTGATATATGATTCCCTTTTAAGTGGTCATTACTGAATACAACAGGACATCAAGTTTGATGAGAATTTTCAGTGTATAAAATGACAGTGAAGCAAGTGGTAGGAAGATTGTGGAGATATAAAAGCACGGTCTAGGTTGGTGCTGGCTTTGTAGGTGTTTTTTGACATTTTTCTTCAAAAACAATTTGAGGATGTTGAGTCATTTTAATTCCTGGGTTATATTTAAAAAAAAAAAAAAAAAAGGAGGAGGGAGTAGGTAGGAGCACAGTGAAAGAGACTGAATTTAACAAGAGAACCAAACCCAGCGGTTTTCATCTGTCTTGATTTGAAAAGAAATGCACTAATTTCAGGGATTACAAGTGATCAGTCTCTTCTGACTGTAAAGAAGTGAAGTGTTTTTTAATCTTGGCTGCTATCACTGAATTATCTCCTTTTACAAAGCACTGCAGTACATAACTGCCTAACTGCCTCAAGGAGAAGTATTCAGGTTTTGTTTTGTTTTGGTTTTTTTTTCTGGAGGAAAAAGACTTAATGGAGGTGGACAGATGTAAAGAGGGTGTTAAACATGTTTAAAATCTGGATGAGCTATTTCTAAAGGGGATGTTACTCTCCCAGTTACTATACACATTAAAAGTTTTCACTTGCTCTTCCGCATAATTCTTCCTGTTTTAGAAATTAGAGGATATCCCAAGATTTTCATTTTACCACATGTTCTTTTTAACTAATTCATTATGTGATCATATGAGGTATGAACTTGACATTCTGCTGGTGGAAAATGAAGCCCAGAATGTGTGTGGGGGGGTGTTGTATCACTATGGTGAACTTCTGAAGTTAACCAGTTCAAACTCATTTAAAATCAGAAGGGAAAACTTAAATACCTTGCCATTTGGGTAGCACAGTTGCCAGATAACCTGCAGCTGAAGGGAGAATTTGATGTTCATGATCTGTGATCAAGATTGACGTTGTTCATATGCTGCTCAGAAACCTGGAACACGCAGGTTTTGCAGAAAAAAAAGTGTGAATTACTCATGGGTAACACCGAGGCCGTCTGGGGAACTGTTGGTTACTGAACCTGCCTGGGTTGTTGCTGGGGGTGCCTTTCAGATAAGACATGAGAATTTTCCTGGTCTTGCCATGTATTCCTGGTTTGTCTCCAAAAGCAGGTGGTTGTTCTGTGATTTCCACTCCAGCAGAGCTGCTCTGCAGAGCTCCTTGGTTTAATAATGTCTGATTTCTATTATGAGCCTGAACTTTGGTAGCATTGTTCCGCACGGTTACATCACACGGCCAGAAGTCTCAAAGGCTTCAGTCGAATGTTTTGAGATGGTCTTGCCAAGTATAATCAAGAGAACGAGAATTTTAATTTTCATCAGAAAATGAGGTGGTTAGTTTGCATCCTTGTTTTCTTGTTAAAAAGAAAAAGAAAACTTTATATTGTTGTGGGGGGGATGACTCCCTTAAAGGGTGACTTCCACATTTCAGAATAGCACATTTGAAGGCTTTTTTATATGTCTAAGTTTGGCTTTTCCTGTTTACCCTGTGGCATCTGAAACTGTTTATAGAAGCAATTCCTATGAAGCTTCCAGTCCAAGTGATTACGTGGTACACAGACCCCTTTTCTTTTGGGCAAACCAGCTAATAGGTTATTTTTAGTTAGTGGTTCATTGGAGCCAATAATTTATCCTTGCACTGGATGTTAAGAAATACATTTTACACAGTGGTCAACTTTCCCAGGAAGAAGTTAAAGGTATTCAGTTTGGTGTGGAATTTTCGTACATGGTAAAAGAAGATTTAGGGGAGAATGGATGCAATATTAAATGAGATATAATAACTTTGCCTTTCTCCTTTGCACAATATTTTACTGTCCAGCTGTCACAAGAATTCTGTATTCACACAAATATTGTTAAACCCCTCCTTCATTTTCTGTGTGCGGAGCTGATTGAAGGAAAATGGTTTTGATTTCTGATTTAGAAGTTAAAATACTTTTGCCTTAAAAGTCATTTTAGTACAAGTTTAGGAGGGAAAAAGGTTTCTCACACTGCAAGTCAGAATGGACATAAATCTGTGGTTTTGTGTACAAGTGTGGGTCATTGATGTGGGTTTCTCTCTTCGTGTGTTACTTGCAGTTGTTGAAACCAAATAAATACTGATTATTGTTTGAAAACTCATCTTCGTTGTGTTGTACATCTTTGTGTGTTTGTATACCCTGGATGATAGTTTATTGCTTCTCAATGCTTTATTTCATTGCTTGTTCATTAGCCATGGTTTTTGCATTAAGTGCAGAGGGTTTTTTTGGAACCTGTGAAACTCTGGGAAAAATTCAAGCTAATAAAGAATTCATCAAGCCAGGCCCCACTGGTTTATCTTTACTGTGTGCTAAAATACCATTAGTTCAAAGAAGTGTACCCAGAGATGCCTTTGGGGCAGTTTGAATCAGTTTGGGATGTTCAAGGGTAAAAAAAATAAACCTGTGTCTGTCTAGCCAGGAATTCTGCTATGGACCTGTAAAGCTGGATTCCTGGTAACAGTTTCTATCAAGAAATACTGATAAATTCAATTTTTCCTATGAATCTTTCCTATCTTGAATTTCTGGCATTTTGTTGTCCTGCATAAAAATGACAACAGCAACAGATGAGCAGCACCTGAAGGAAACCTTGTAGCATTGTTATCCCAGCATTAACTCAGTTGGGAAAGATATCGATCTGTGATCAAAGCAGAGGAAAGCAAATCAAACATCCAGCTTGTGGCACAAGAGCAGAATTTCCTTTGATAGCTGATAAAATTAAGGCTTGGGATTGTTCACATTTCGAAACCTTGGTGTGGTTTCACTCGAGTGCTTTGTTGTCACCCAGATCACAGCGCATTGTATTCGGACACAGTGTAAACTGTGACTTGTTATTTGTAGCTGCATTAAAAAGTGGTGTTTTTATATCCCTGAAGGTTTCCATCAGACTCTTTTTTTGCTGAAAGTGAAAAAGCCCTTAGGGCATAGAGTGCTTTAAATACAAATTTGTTTATTTTATGCCATATATGCTTCTGGCTTTGCCGCCTTGCATTTCAAAAAGAACAACCTGCTCAGTATGCCATTCCAATATTCAGTCAAGGCATGTGCTAAAGTTTGTATAACAATTTGTAATGTACAATGATATTGATGACACAGTCTTTATTTGTGTTTAGCTTTGTCATTGATACTCAGGGCAGTTTCTGGAATATTGTTTTCCATTTGGCTGTTGCTACAGTGTAGGCGAGGGCCGGACACGGCATGTTTTCCTTTTGAATTATAGGAGATTTTTAGACTGTAATGACTGTCAGGTATAATCAAACAGTTTTGTACAAATATTTGAACCTCCATCCTTGCTAAATATAGAGTGACAGGAATCCGTTTTTCCATCTTTTGTAAAGCACTTTGAGATCAAATACTGACAGTCCGATATTAAATAAACCACTACGGACAGATCTTGAGATCTGAACCTGTGACATAAACTTTCAAGAAATTTAGTGGAATGAAGTTTGAAGTTTCCTTAAAAGTGGAAGTGTATGTGTTCAGAATGGTGCTTCTCCAAGAGAAATGTGGATATTTGTGCTGCACTGTGCATCTTCTGACGGACTCTGTAGTGACTGAGCCCTGCAACGTCACTCCAGTACACACAGATATTTGGGTGGGGAGGCTGCTTTTTAAAAAAAAAACAAACAAACAAAAAACAACCCATCAACCAGAAAGACCAAAAGCCTGGCATCCCTGTCCTGCTGCATTCCCTCCCACTGACAGAAGATGAGCTGCGAGTGCTGGGGCTGCCTTTGCGAGGCCGTTTTTAAAGCCACCAGCTGGTGCTCGTTCACGTGGGTGAGATTCGTTTCCTGTGTTCCCCAGGGCCTGGCACCAGCTCGAATCCTTCAGGGGGTGAAAGTGATGGCAAAGTGGAAGCACCATCTCCCCCGCTGCCTTCAGCACACCTTGCCACTCAGAGCCCCACCAGGATCTGCTCTTCTGGTGAAATGTCACCAGAAACTGGGATAAAAGGAGAAGTGCCTTCCTCAACCCAGGTAAGATGGGGGTGGGGGGGGATACAAAGAATTTGAAATGCAAAGGTGTCTGTTTGATCAAATCCTCCCCAGTTAGGAGTATTTTGAAAGATCTAATACCTTATACTTCAATCTGTGAGCTTTTTTTTTAAATAGAGATTGTTTTAAAACTAGAAGTCTGTTGAGGGTCAGGACTGGTGCTGTCCCAATTTTAGTCTTTCTGTCTTACCTCAGCAGAATTTCTGTTCAAAAGCCTCTGGGGTTTTTTAAATATGAATGCCTTTTTTATTGTAAATCCCTTCACTTGCACAGCACTGCACACTAGCAGGTAATAATGGCATGAGACCTCAGCTACCCATTGCTCACTTCTGGTGTAGGACATTTGGGTTTCTTGTAGCTGTATAAATTCAGACAGAAGTGTGCTGGCTCTCTCTATTACAGAAGTGGGAAGTTTGACCTAAAATCCATAGTTTTCTGCAGCATTTCTTGTTCCTAATAGTTTTGAATTATATTCTATTAAACAAATGGGTGGAAAACACAGATTTTGCTTTGCCATCCCCATAGAGCAAAGTGAGCTGGTCTGCACAGACCTGCCGGGGCTGCAGCACGCCTCTGCCTCATACAGGGCTGCCATCTGCCACACACTGGCATATTGCAAGGGATTTATAAGGAAAAAATAAGATAAAATCAGCTTTTATTTAGAATTTGGATCAGCAGTGCCAGAGGGCATTGCAGAAGGGGAGCTATGCAGAAGGTGTTTGTGTTCTACAGGCTCTCCTGTGTGGAAAAGTACCTGTGGAGGGCTAAGAGAGAATTTTCCAGTTCTGTTGTATCAACTAAAAATATCCAGTCCAGCATTTCCCACTGGCCTGAGTGGGAGCTATAGATGCTTAGTGAGACTGGAAACTGAGTAGTTATCTGTGACTTAAACAGAGATGTTGATTACTGTCTTCAAAACACCAAATGATAAGGTGTTTTGAGGCAAGATAAAGGCCCAGTTCACTGCTCTGGCAGTGAAAGCTTTGTAAAGGCACTTTGAGTTGTCAGGTCAAACAGCTGAGCCTCCCTTAGAGAAGGGATGAAGGCAGTGACAGCAATGGGAGTCACAGCTCTGCCTACAGGAGAGCTTCTTGTAAATGCCTGCCCTAACTTCTCTGTGCTTTTCCCTTGCAGGCTGCCTTTGATGGATTGCTGGCACTTTGGCAGTTCGATAACTCTGACTCAGGTAAGCAGAGAGGAAAACACATCTTTAAACTGTCATTATTTTATACCAGAAGAGGCTGATCCATGTGTGTACCCATGGTCCTGTTTCAGATTCGAGTTTCCCGAGGTCTGAGGACACAGACGTCACCACCAGTGGGACCTTCCTGGACTCGGCCCTGGCCAAGAGGCTGACCTGTGGCTTCTGCAGGAGGGTGTTCCAGCGTGCTGAGGAGCTGAAGGAGCACATCCACGAGCACGCCTTCTCCATGCTCTTCCCACTCAATGTTCTCGACTGCTCCCGGCCCGGCCTCGCCGACAGCGCCGCTGCCGGCCAGCTCGGCCGCTTCCAGTGCTCCAAGTGCCCCGCCAGCTTCACTCTGAAATCCAACATGGATCGGCACGAGAAGACCATCCACTTCCACTGTAAGAAGATGCAGTGTCCTAACTGTGACAAGCTGTTCCGTGACAAGACAGACTTAACCCGGCACCTTCTGTCCGTGCACTCGAGCGAGCGCGCCTTTGTCTGTCTCTGCTGTGGGAAGGGCTTTGGCACCCAGAAGAACCTCAGTAGCCACGTGAAAACGTGTTACCTGGGCTCTGCCCACCTGGCTGGGCTGGAGCTTTTGGACAGTGTAGGGCCAAGCGAGGATCCTGAGGATACGTAGCTGCTGTTGTTGTATATGAGACGCTTCCTTGAATTAGGAAAAGCAAATTGTGCCGTGGTTCTTGTGCTGCAAATAAATGTTCCACAGGTGTAATTTCATAGAGTGACTCCCCAAAGCTGATCCGTTGGTGCTGTGCTGGTTCCAGATGTTGTGTCACTGCAGCCTTGGGGTAATTTTTGTGCAAAGATAATATTTTTGGGTCCATAAAATGGGCACTTCAGCTGTTTTGTTGGAGTGCTCATTCTGTGTTCTAACACTACCTTGAACTGCTTTATCAGTTGATCTCAAAGTGCTTTATAAAAGAAATGGGGATGTTTTCCTCCAATTCCTCAGGAAAATAACATCCCTCAGGTTGTTGAAAGTGCTAGCAATAGAATTAATAATAGAATTCAGTTCTGAGTTCTGCTGTAGTGCTCTGTCCATTACACCATTTGGGCATTCCAGGGGTTTTCACTGTGAACTGAGGAGCTGTGGAAACACAGGGTTGCTGGTTGTGAAATGGTTTTCTGTGTCTTTCAAAGGAGAAAAATATACTGCTTGTTCATATGTCCAGTAGGGTATGTTACTTGGGCTTGAAAGTTGTTGCAAGGCTTGCATCTTTTACTGATATGATATTTCAGTACATTCAGGGCTTTTTTTAAAAACATGCTGGAGTTCAGCTGTGGTTTTCAGGGGTTCTGTACATTTTTGTGACTCGTTTGGTTTATACACTGTAATTAACTTAGCCAGGCTGAGTGTGGTGGTGTTGAAGCATAGGAAGGAGGCTTTACATAGATTTAATTGTAACTTATGGTGTGCATGCAGAATCAGTAATGGCTGTTCCTGATGGGTAGAAATCTGTAATTCCTGTTTCGTTGTATGAAATTAACTTATTTTTTAAAAAGATTAAATACTTCTGTGTCTCTTGCTATATATTTACATACAAAACCAGATTATGGTAACTGTGGAATGAAAGTAGCATAATTAAGAGCAGTGCTTCCAGCTGCTCCATGTGCAGCACAGCTTGTCAGCATGTGGGGTTTCTTTCCTTAGTGTGAGAGACAGCTGAGGAGGAAAAAACCCAATCTCTACAAATGTTCTCTAGAGTTCTTCAGGAAAGTTCTTTCTCATTATACTGTTGCATCTCAGGGAGACAAAAAATACTTAGTTGTGCACAATGTGGACTTAGTGAGGAGCTTCTTCCCCAGCCCTTTCCTGTGGAAAGGTGAATGAGGGAGCCCACCAGGTCCTGCTGCCCTTGGGCTTGTGCAGAAGGAACGGGAGCTCTGCTCCTCCTGTTCCTGCTGGGAGTTGGAGCTTCGGGGACACGGCTCCATGCCACACCAGGGCTGGAAATCCAGAGTTCCCCTGCTTGGCTTAGCTCTTACCCTTCATTTGAGCAGGCTGCAGTCAGAATTGAGGGTAAGTTCCTATGTAATCACTGTAGTACACTTTAATCATTTGGGTTTAGATGTTATGCTTTTTGCAAAGTCAGGTTCATTTTTTCCGCTCTCGTTCCCGTTGACATCTTTGGCATGGGAGATCTCGGCTGTCTGTGAATGTGTGTAGCTTTTAGTGTCAGCTTCCCTTGTGACAGATGTCAGAGTAATTGCCTCATGATTTATTTTGCTCTTAAATAATCAGCTAGGGAGAAAGGAGAAAGCTGAGCCAGAAAACAAAGTTGTAACCCAATGAATCTTATCTGGAAATTTGGGAGCAGCAGGGAAGGATTTGTCTGACTTGGGAAAGTAAGATGCCAGCAAAAGCAATTTCAGCAAACTTTAAAAGGTTTCATTACATAATAATAGTTAATGAGGCTTCGTGTTTGCTGATTTTTCTTGTATTTTAGAATTTAATTCAACATGGAATTCTTTTTCTGCTGTCTCTAATAGACTGACCTGTGCATCAGAGTTCTTCCTGACTTCAGCACTGGGAATTTCCAGTGCTTCCCTTCAGGAGCAGGAGTATGATTTTTAAACTGTTAGAACTGAAGGGTATAACAGGGCAGAGCTTTATTGGGTTTTTGTAGGACAGGTGTTAGAAGTAGATTTTACTGTGAGGAAATGGCATAGGAAGCTGATGGGAGGTGTGAGTCTGACAGTTAAATTGCACCTTCCTATTTATAACTTTAAATATAAAGATGATTTAGCGGACAAGAATTCTCCTGAAGCTTGTGAGTCCTTCATAATCACCCAAAGAATGTAGTATTTCAGTGATTATTAGCTAGATGACAGTTTACAGAGTTATTCCAGAGCAGCTCCATCTGGCATCACTAGTGCATTTCCTTTACTCTCAGGGATGTAGGAGCCTGTGTCCTTTAACAGCCTCAGTGAAATTTACTGAAGTTACTTGCGATGACAATACAAAAGATTTTTTCCCAAGCATTATTGTGTTTGTTTTAAAAACACACATTTCCATAAATATTTTAGTGGCATTAAGTACACAGATTTTTACTGTGTCACTGTCTCTGTTTCCTTCTCCATTTCTTGGTGCTCTGTCCAGGAGCTCTTTACCCATGGTGCTGCTGTTTATCACCTTGATGATCGTGTTAAAGATGATTTCTTAGGACCTTAATGCTGCTACACTTAATGCTGCTATAAATTATTGTCATTTAGACAAAGGATGATTCTCATACCAAAGCTGGTATTTGTGCATTAAATAGATGTACTGTGGGTGCCTATATTTTACAGGACTGTAAAAATGTTAACGCTGCAATACACTTCTTTTTCTGACCATGCTGCTGTTCTTGAGGTGCTTCCTTTTGTAGATACCAGGACTAAATATGTGGCTATTTGGTGCAAAATTAGTTTCCAATAAAACTATAGCTGCAAACAGTGTTCTGTGGAGTATTTTTAAATACAGAAGCTGAAAATACTGGTTTTGAGTGATTCAAGCCGAATGCAGGCATGAGGGATGTTGGACAGAGTCAGGAATAGGCTGTTGGGAATCCATGGATGTGCTGGAAGCAGGTGGCTGGGAAGGAGCCTGCTGGGGGTGCAGCTCATGCTCCCAGCATTGGGTGTTGCCTTTTCAGCTTTGCAGCAGCTCAGCCCTGAAGGGAAGGGAGAGGTGGGCAGGAAACGGGAGCAGGCACCGGTCACTGGGGGAACAGCAGGATCACCTACAACCCAGTGATGTAGGAATAGGGGATTTTGTGAGTTTCTCTCCTTAAAGCACTTTCTCTTCATGCTCCCAGGCTCTTGTTGCTGTCAGGATCTCCAGTCAGATTTCCCAGTGGCTCTGTGTCTCTGCACTGTGGTGTGGAGCAGGACTGGAGGAAGGAGGGTTTGTGTCCCCTCTTGACTCCCTGTGCTCAGTTTAAAGCTTGCTCACCTTGTCTACACTCCATAGTGACAGGGTTGTTACAAGTCTGTGTGTGTGGCCTGTCACCAAAATCAAGCGGTTGCAAAATGAGACTGGAAATGAATTGATAATAAATAGCTTTGTATGATAAAATTGCTATCTGCTGTAGGAAGACGTGGGCTCCTTGCCTCTGAGTGTATAGATGAGGGAGTGTGAAACCCTACGAGAAAATAAAAATATTTTTTCCTATAATAAAAGACAAAGAATTTTCATATTCTAGTTGTAAAAAAAAAAATAGTAGGAAAGTCTCTTCCATAGACTGTTTCCCTTTCCAAGAGCCATTTACAAATACATAAGTTACAGTGATTAACTAGAACTTGCTCTCTTTTTCCCCCCTCCTTGTTATGTATATATATTGCTTTGAGAAATAGCAATAATTAGGAGAAAAGTGGGTGAAAATTAACACACTAGCAACAGTTGAAGGAGAAACAGGAGAAATCATCTCCTCATGGTCAGTCACTTCCAAACTTGTAGTGGGTGGGTGGTGCCCTCAGGGAGCAGCAATACTCAGTTTTCACCTGCTGTATTTTGTGTGTGGCACTGTCACTGTGTCACTGGATAATGTAGAGAATGGTGGCTGGAACTGCCCTGTTTCCTCTGGGCCATCCTCAGCCTCTGCTTCTTCACCAAAACGCTCCTGGGGTGTGTGATGATGTTCTTGCATCACCCCATAAATAACACCCAAACTCTGTTTGGGTGCCACCTTTGTGGACTTCTGTTCCTGGCTCCCTGCTTCTTCCAGAAGTAATACTGTGAGCATTTTAGATCTTGATATTTAGGATAATCCTTTATAATAAATCAGAACTCTAGCAGGTTGACAGCCCTCTTCATTTTCCCTTTAGCAAGCAATGTCTGTAACAGGCTGTCAATAAATGTTTGTGTGTCAACTTGCTCAAAAGCTTCTGTGGTGGAGGTACTCAATTTCTTAGCTTTAATAATATATGGGCTGTAATACAGTATAAGGAGTAAAAATATGTAGGTGGTTAAGGGGTAAGAGTGTGATTTCACAGTGAACTAATTTAACAGTGAAATAGTCAACGAGAAGACTGAGATTAATCTGTGTGTTGTGCTTTCTCTCTTGCAGTCAACGAGTTCACAGTCATCAGGAAGAAGTTCAAGTGCCCGTACTGCAGCTTTTCTGCCATGCACCAGTGCATCCTGAAGAGACACATGCGGTCCCACACGGGAGAGAGGCCCTATCCCTGCGAGATCTGCGGGAAGAAGTTCACCCGCCGCGAGCACATGAAGCGCCACACCTTGGTAAGGCTGGGGGCATCAGCCCTCCTGCTCAGGGTAAAGAGCAGGAGTTCACCTCATTTAAGTCTGGATTTTGTTTGCCACTCAGGGCTCATCTGAAGGCTTCTCCTGTAGCTTTTTTCCATGCTTTTCCAAGGCCTAGTGGCTGCCTGCCTATTCATCCTTCTTCCATCTCCAAGCTCAGCTAGAAGCTTTCCAAGGTTTTGGGTGGATATTAGCAAAAAATTCTTCACTGAAAGGGTTGTTCAGCCCTGGCACAGGCTGCCCAGGACAATGGGGGGTCACCATCCCTGAAAGGGTTTAACAAATGTGTAAATGTGGCTTCTGGGGACATGATTTAGTGGTGGACTTGGCAGTGCTGGGGGAACAATTGGACTCGATCTTAGAGGCCTTTCCCAATTTTAACAATTCTGTAATTCAATGACTTGGTGCAGAAAGCTTTAAAACACATTGCTAAGCAAGAACTTGAGGCAAAGCTACTCTGTTCTGGCCATGTTTAGTTATCAAAAATGCTGTTACACCTTGCTAAAGAGGCTACTCAGCTCTGACTGCAAGGCTGGTGCTGGTGTCTGGCTCTTCACAGCTTCTTCAGAAACAGAATTCTAAGCTGAACTTTGATTATTTTTCTTTTCAGGGTAGAAATGATTTGCCATCCTAAAGAGGTTCTCAAAGCTTAGTGTGGAGGTGATGCTGTGGCAGAGCAGGTAGTTTCTAGGCAGTAATTCCAGTAGCAGGTCTGGCTCACCACCGACAATGCCCCAGGTTCCTCACCAGGACCCTGGAGCCCTGTGTGACAATTTTCCACGGTGCCCCATCATCTCCTTCCCTTCCTTTGCTGCTCCCATGTCTGTTTGGATGAGAGCCCAGCCATCTGCTTGGGCACTGCCTGCTCCCTGAGATGTCCCTTCCTTCTTCCCTTGGGGTGCTGGAGTTGGGAGGCAGATCCCAGCGTGAGCTCAGTCCTGCTGCAAGCACACAGCAGGATTTGAGAGCTGGTATGGTTTTGCAGCAGGGAACACCTTGTTGTGCCAGCTGCTTGCCTACAGCATTTTATTTCTGAGAACTTTTCCTTTTTAAATTTTTTTTTTCATAAGTTTAGCATGTTGTCAGCATATTTGCATTTCTCTTCCCTGAAATACTGGCATTTAATCAGTCATCTGTCATCTTTCTAATGGCACTGTCCAATACTGAGGGCCAAATACTGTTTCTGTGTTTAATACTAATTTGGCTGTAAAGAGAATAAGATTCATTTCTGTTCAGTTGCATCCAGGAATATGGCTCACTTTGAACCTGCTGACTGAACTGTCAGCATTGGGAAAGAGGGAGAGAGGTTATTTTAGTTTTTTAGAGTTTTTTAGTAGAAATGCCACCTGCTCTAGTGGAAGATGTCCCTGCCCATGGGGCACTAGATCAGCTTTAAGGTCCCTTCCAACCCAAACCATTCTGTGATAATTACAAATTGGTTTAGTACTTGTTTTATAATTCCTTTTTTATATGGCTCTTTTAGCCCTTATTCTGCGCCCCTGACCACCTTCTGTGGTCCTATTCAGCTTTTGATGCCTGAAAATCATTCTTGTACAAGTTGAAAGTGAGTGATACCTATAGATCCTGCTGGATGACTCTGAGCATCCCTGTCTAACTGCTTTAAAAAAAGTAATAAAATTTAATGCCTTTGCTTGATGCAGTAGAAAAATGTCATAGGGACTGGCTCGGGGCAGGGGAACCTGCAGCCAGAGCATATCAGAGGCACTCACAGGCTTTGAACACGGCTGGGACTGGTGCAACACAGAGCCTGAGCCAGTGTCCTGCAGTAGTGAGGGCTGAGGGGCTGCAAAGGGTCAATTTGTCCTCTTCCCAAAGGGCTTTAGCTCGTCTGAGTATTCCAGAGCACAGGCTTGTGGAGGCACGTGGTGAGAGCTGGTGATCCCATGCTGAGGCGGGAGCAGGGAGCAGGCATCCAGGCAGCTGCTTTAAAATAAAAGGAAGGACTTTAATCAGCAAAAGCTTTCCCACAGGCTTTTGTGAGCATGAAAAGAAGAAACGAGTTAAAAAGGATTAAGAACCGGTGATACCCAAGGTATCCAAGGCTCTGGTGGCTGCTGGACTGCTCAGAACAACCCCAAACCACTGGCACTGGATCCTTGTGTGCTTCTACACCACTTCTAAAATGTCTCCTGAGGATCAGTGCCAGACACAGGGCATTGAGTGCCTGTGCTGTCCCCATGTGGTGTTAACATATAAAACAATAAAGAAAAAAAAGTAAAAGAAAAACACATATTTATAATACATACTGGGCAGCCCTGAAGCAGTCAGGCAGTTGGACTAGAAGATTCTCCCTTCCAGCTAAACTTTTCTATATATAAATAAAATCAATGTGTATTTTACATGTAGATATATATGTGTAAGTGAAAGTGCCTGATGAGGCTCCTTGTGGTGAAGTTTGGGAATTCTCACTGCCCTGGTTTATTTGGCAGAGAAGCAGGTGGATGGCTTGACAAGCTTCTTGCCTTCCATGCAGGGCAAAAGTGGCCAGGGACAGATTTCACCTTTAAACAGGTGTTTAGTGTTTCTCAAAGTGCAGTTTTGCTCATTGGATAGTGCAGTTTGGCTCTGGAAATGAATTTTTTTATCCTGCAGAGCATTTTCCTTGCTTCCTTTACATGTTCTGTGATAGCTTCATATGTCCAGGATTCTTGCAGCAAGAGTTATGGAAGAGAAACATTTTTGTTGAACTAAAGTAGTCAGAAATAAGGTGAGAAGTTCATTCAGATGCATTTTTGGGGGATACAGGAGATATCCCAAGCGCTCCTGTTCCTTGGTTCTGGACAGCAGTGGGATCAGGAGGGAGACCACTAAATGACCATGACATTAACACTGTTTTGGTCAGGGTTATTCTTCTCTGAACAGAACTAGTGCTTGTGGATTGTTTATTTCTTTTTAACATTTTCTTCTTGGTGGTGGGTGTGATAAAATTATTGCACCCCAGAAAAACAGAAGGAAAAAGGAAGAAAAAAAATTATGATAAAAGTTTCTCTCAGACTTACGAGTGTGCTGATGAGCAAGCAGTCCCAAAGGATTTTATTGTGTGTCATCATTGCAGGGTTGAATTAATCGTGGTGGGTTTGAGTTCGTGGTGGAAGCCAGGTGTGATCTCGGGTAGCAGTTGTGGATTTGCCTTTGCAGGGACACGGGAGCAGCTCTCGTTCCATCTCCGTTGGCATTCACCTCTGTGCTCTTTCTTCTTCTCCAGGTCCACAGCAAAGATAAAAAATACGTCTGCAAGGTTTGCAACCGGGTGTTCATGTCGGCAGCCAGCGTGGGGATCAAGCACGGCTCGCGCCGGCACGGCGTCTGCGCCGACTGCTCCGGCCGCGGCATCGCCGGGCACCTGGACCACAACGGGGGAGAGGGGTCCCCAGAGGAGTGTTACCCTGGGGAAGGGCAGTACATGGAAGATCCAGATGACATCAAAGTGGAAGGAGACGAGGAGATGGGAGACGACGATGACATCAAGTGGAAGGATGACGTGGGGATGTCACAGGATGATGTGATTTTAGATGATGACAAAGATGTCGACTCCCCGCAGGAGCAGGACAACTCTGGGGAGAACGACAAGGATTTTACCTGGATTTCTTAGGGATTATTTTTTGTTTGGTTTTTTTGTTTCGCTCTGTCGTTTGTAGGGGGAGGGAGGGTGGGGAGGAAGGAGTATGTTGGAAAAACTAAGTAGCCTTGTTGTCGTCCATGTGTGCAAAATAACTCTTGTGTTTTCTAAACAAGTCCTTCTCTGTTCCACTCAGACACTGTCTTAGCAAGGTCGCTTCCAGCGGCACGACTGACTTCGCCTTCCCCCTTTTCCCTTTCCCTTTTCCCCCTGTGACCCCCTGCCCATGGCCACCCCTTCAGCCAAGTCAGCCAGGCCCAAGAGGGAGGTGGAGTCTGTGCAGGTGTGAGGAGGCTGGTGAAGCATGAATCCTCCTCCCCTTCCCACTCCAAACCGAGCACCAGGGAGGTCTTTGCGTCCAAAGCAGGCTTGTTGGTTGGTTGGGTTTTTGTTACACCTTGTCTGTGCTAAAATCCCAGCAGCAGTGGAATTTCAAGCTAAGGTTTTGAAAGCAATGGATGGATGTGTTGGAGGGCTTCCCCTGACGATACAGGCCTTTTGCAAAGTTATTTAAAGAGTTTTAATTATTTTTTATGGAGCCAAGTAGATCAAAAGGCAAGTCAGATTACAGCCTTACAAATACTTCTCTTGGATTCTTAGCTTCCAAAAGAATCACCATCAAAAACAGATTATGACTTTTCTTGGACCTACTGGCATCTTACCCATGTGCTGTCTTCCAGCCTTGGTCATCCACAGGCACTGAAACACGTTTGTGCTTCTGGAAGCACCTTTTGCTCTAGAGGACACAATTCTGTACCTGTCATTCCTCTCCACAAATATCTTCACTGTTCTCCCTGTGCTCAGCTGCCTTTTTCACAAAAATATGCAAACTGTAGCAAAACAAAGGCATTTGGCCAAGTGCAGGATGAGCGAGAAGCCGAGGTGAGGAGATCCCAACAGGGTGGAATCCTGCTGCTCCCATCCCATGGACTTCTGTGGGGCCAGGATTTCACCTGGGTACCTTGTTCTTCCTTGCCAATCTCAACATTCTTGTTGAACATGGGTAGGTCTAATACCTACTTAATTCATGACAAAAACCTTCAGCTTTAGTTGCACCGGTTCCATGTAAATTTTCCAATAAACCATGTTTTCTTTAAATAAGAACCAGGTTTCTCTCCCAGCATCCCCTCAGGCTCTGTGGGGCTGTTCCAGATAGTTGGATTCTCCCTGTTCATATCGGCCACTGTTGCCTTCTTTCAGCTACACCTAAATAACAGCAGCAGCATGTGTTGGATTTGTCTTATTCCTGAGAAACAGCTTGTTCTACCTTCACCTCTTTGCTTCTGGTGCTTTTTTAAATAAATAAAACAAAAAAGCCGAAGACCTCACTCCATCCTTGCCATTGAGCAATTTTTTACAATACCTGTGACTGTGGTACCTTGAAACCTGCCACGAAAGACAACCCATTGCCAGAAGCCAAATGACTCAAGGTGCTATTTTCCTTCCTGCAGGCCTGGTGGTCCATGAGGAAAAGTGTGGTTCCTGGTTCCACCCAGCAAAGGAATTAAAAGCATATTGTACAATAAACCCCCATAAAGCAAATAACCTGAAAGGATTTAAGCCACTTGGTGCCAGGATTTCATGGAGCATGGTGGGAGCCTGGATCCTGACACCTGCAGGAGCTGGGCTCTCTCTCCCTTCCCTCCTTCCAGTTGCATCCTGGGTTTATGGCGTTCACTCCCCTTCTCTGCTGCTCAGTTCCTTGCAGGCATTCACCACCTTCTCTCTCCATCCATCATCCCAGTTCACCATTGCTTCCATTGGGAGTCTCCAGGCTCCTGCCCTGTGGATTTGGGGGTGTTCAGTGCTGTGGGAACATGGATCTTTCCTAAAATCCTCGATGTGGCTCAGCCCCGTTGCTGCTGCCCCTTGGACTGGAGGAGTTAGTGGCACTTGTTGCTTTAGGCAGTGAGCATGGATAACCCTTTTCCTTAAATATAGGGAGAGCAGAGCAGGTCATGCAGGAACATCTTTCTTAAGTTGTAAGAATCTCATTTTGCGTTTTAGCTTCTTTTCCTTCTCCTCCCCTATTTAAAAAACTGTAAAAACCCACCCAGTATATCACAATTGGACCTTTATATACCCTTTTCCAATGGTTTTGGGGGGTGCCAGAGATGAGGAGGCTGTTCCCTTATCCTGATTTTGGCCCCCATAGTGTGGGTTCTGTATTTATTGTCATTTACCCTGTAAATAGGGAGGGGTTCAGGGGTGCCTGAAGTCCTGAATGTGCAGCCTCACCTGTTGCATGTAGACAAATACATACAGTACTTAAAGATTTATCTTTAGCTTTGCCTTTTATAAGTAAAAATCTATTTTAAAGAGAATTTTAAAGCCCAAATGGTTCAAACCCCTGGGTTTGTGTCACATTCCGATGGCCCATCCCCTCCAATGCTGGTGTGTGCATCCACCTTCTGAGGAGGAGCACGTGTGGGCCAAGCCCTCCTCTTCCTCCATTCCCTTGGGTGACTCAATTTTATCATCAGAGTTATGGAGTGCTGAGCTTTCTTCACAATCCCCTTGGAAATATTTTATTCTTTTTTTTCCTTATTTTTATTAAAGGTGGGCAGAGAGCCGGGTAGCGCTCAGGAGTGTTTCCAAATTCTGTCACTTTGAGGCTCTTTGAACTGAAGACGCAAAAAATAAAGCAAAAAGAAAAGAAAAAAGGGAGAGAAAAATGGAAAATCTACATAAAAACTAACTTTTCCCATGTCATAACTTTGCACATGCTTCTGTCTCACTAACACACACCATGTACCAAATAAAACCCTTCTAACACCTGGTGTCTATTGAAGTGCTTTGTTCTGATGGAGGTGTGCAGAGTTGGAAACACAGGGATTCATCTTTAACCTCCCATGCTCCGACTTGGGTTTGAAAAACAGGAATTTGGGCGTGTTTTTTATGCTGAAACTTTATAAACTTCATCAGTCACTCCAGGTGATCACATCCCTCCAGCTTGTCTCCGGGGTCTCTCGGATATACTGCCTATGCAAACTTCTGCTCTTGGAGATTTAAACAAAACCCCACTAATTCTGCCTGTTCTGCATCTCGTCTTTGTATTTCCCTTCAGGGCTTTGTATACTTCACTGAGGTTCCCTTTTTTTAAGTTTTTCTAAATATATATATATATATATATATATGTATGTATGTGTGTATATATATACAGACTTAGTTCCACAACAGTAACTCCCTTAGAGGTAAAACATGGATATACTCCATCTTGAGAACTTGCAATTCATTTTTTAAAAGCATTTGTAGATGTAAATGTTCCTCCTTGAATTCCTTGATTACCCTCATTTTTTATTTTAAATCTGAGTGCCAGGAGTAGAGAGCGGAATGGGGCAGAGGGCATCATCCTGTCTGTGCCCTCCATCCCAGGGATCCATGGACTTGCAGAACATCTTAAAAGATGGAGACAAACAAGGTCCTTGTGTTGATTTGAGATTTCCAAAAATATTCCTGAAATCATGAATTCCCCAGTTTTGTGGTTTTTAAGGTCACCCCAAAGCCTCACAGCTGCAGAGCAGCTTTGTGGGGAAGCAGAGGGAGACTTCTCTAATGAAGGTTTGCAAAGTGATTGTCCCT